TGTGGGAGCAGACAGGGAAGGAACACTGCTCTATAAACCAGATCAGTTGATGAAATGACTTCAGTCCTGTGTTTGAAGCATCACCTTATGTGGCCGTGATTCTAACAAGGTTGACTAGAATAATGTATTTTCAGTCCAGCCTTCTCATTTTAATCTGTATTGGAAGTGTAAGGTCTGGTGCATGGCAATAGAATAATTACAGGAATGCTGTCAAATGGATTACCTAGATTACCAGTGTTCAGCTGCAGCCTTGCAGCTCTCTCTATAGAATTAACACCTCAGAGGTTATTTACAATCTGGTGGTGTGTATTCCTGCATCTTCCAGACTGCGATCAAACCCAGAATCCCTGTGACTATCTGGTATCACTGTAGCTGTAGAAAATGACTGTTTCTCTGCTTGGAACAAAATGAATTCATGACTAGAAAAAGCTGAGTAACAGAAGCCCAGGTTGTCAGGAATGACTGTGTTAGGTCAGAACCACCTAAGGTGGTTCCTAATCAAGTCTATTTTAATAGGATTACAAATCAAGGAACGTAACAGATGAAGTGAAGAGCATTATAAGATTCGTACGAGAGCATTGTGGACAAAAGGGACGAGCAAATGGGAAGAGAAACACGGGTTCAGGGAGATACACCTTGAACATGATGGTAGATATTTTCCTAGGTAAGTGCTGCTCTTCCAGAAACAGCTCCTAAAGAGACTTGGTGCAAGATCCCTGCCGAGGCATCGGGAGGCCGTGCAATGCCAGCAGTGGGTTAAAGGAGGATCTGTTTTGCAGAATTATTCTTTCCAGGAATCTCTTGCTGGTAAATGATCCAAAATAACAGACTAAAGCTTTAACCCATTTCAGTTGCTATAGCGATCATGTTAGTTTTCTGGTGGTGCTCAGAGTTTCTGGTGCTTAAATGCGGTTTTCTCTGGGCACAGACTATGGAGTACCCTTGGGAATCTTCCACAGGTGCATCTGTAAACACGTACATCCACACGTAGGCTTCCCAGTTGCAGGCTGATCCTGGGGTCTTTGTCACACAGGTACAGCAAGTGCGAAGATTCAGTCTGGAATATTTGGAAAGGGAGCTGCCTATTCAAGGCATAATGTGGAAAGGCTGTTTAGGAAACTGGTCCTGGACAAGGTCCTGGATGAAGACCTGTATATCACAGCTAATGACCAAGCCGTGGCCTATGTAGTTCTGGGAGAGAAAGCTCAGGTTGTGCTAGATGGATCACTACAGGTGAGTAACAGGATTTAGTTTCTTTAATGCATTGTTTGAAGGAATGTGCCACAGTTTTTATGCAGCACACAGCTGCATAGGGATAGTTCAGACATGGTTTGCCTGCCAGCTGAAGTACAGAACTGATCTTCAGCAGATGCAGGGCACAGAATCCAGCAAGCACGGTTTCTAGTCCAGCATTCTAACAGTAATGTGAGGCAAAAGGTGAGTTGGAGAGCATTGGAGAGGATTAAATCTTTCTCTTGTCCCCCACATCCATCTTGATTCCAGTTGACAAGAAACAAGAGCTTTGACCACACAGAAAAGCTACCTAAGAAGAGAAGGAGCAGTGCTGCCCTCTGCATTTTCTGCTCTGTTTTTTCCTAGTCACTCGTGAGCAGTGATGGAAAATGCACTTGAAGAAGGTCATGGAACCAGTCCCAGACCTGCCTGAGGCAGTGTCTCCGCTGCATTAGTGCTGTGCTTGGAGGAGAGCCCTCAGCATTATGCCTAATGACCTCAGTCTAAAGCTAGCTGAGAGCTGGCTTCTCGGGGTTTCATGCCTGTGCTGTGTGTACCCTGCTAGTCCTTTGCAGAAGCAACTTGGGAGCAGTGGAATAGCTTATAGTTTAAAAAGTGGGTAAACAGCTGTGTTTGGTTCTTCAAAGAGCACTTTTGGTGTCCTTGTTACCATGTTCCCTTTGTATTCCTGTGTTATCAGTCAGTCTCCTAATGATGGCTCTGCAGTAACTCCCCGGGCAGAGGTGATCGATTGGCTTCTTTTGGCAGGTGGAGTTCCATGAAACAGAAAGTGCCAGTGCCATCAGAAAGCAAAGGGCCTCCCTGGCAAAGATGTCCCAGCGGGAAGAGATGGTCAAGAAGTGCCTCAGTGAGCTCACAGACACCTGCAAAACGCTTGGGAAGGTCTTTGATGTGCATTACTTCAACATTTTCAGTACTTCGACGCTGAAGAAAATCGCAGGTAATGTCAGCTCCTCGGTGCCTGGGGCCCCTGCTGGCAGCTGTGTGCCACATCACGTTAGTGAAAGCAGGTTCAGGGGTATGTAACGCAGCCGGATGAGCCCTGGGGAGCAGCTGGTGCAGAGCAGGTTCCTGGAGCTGCAGCAGCACTGCTGGAGAAGAACCAGGTGAACGTCCTGCAGTGCAAACCTTGCAGCACTGGGGAGAAAACTCTTGGAGCAGTTTTTGTGCTGAGCACCTAGAAATCTGCTAGAATGAAGGCTTCCTTCCCGGAGCAATTCACCTGCAGGGTGGCACTCAGAGGAGTTAATTTCCTCCAGAATACTCTACCCTGATCTCTTTAAAAACCGAGTGTGTTTGACGTGTCTAATTGGTACCTCGTTACTTTGCAGAATCCTTGTCTTCGGATGCAGAGGTTTTACTGCAGATTGATGGTGTCACAGAAGACAAGCTGGAAAAATATGGTGCAGAGATAATGAAAGTGATGGAGAAGTACTCAGAATGGACCACACCAGGTTTAGTATGCCTCGTACCTAATGTGGGCTTCCCTGCTGAGTACCCTTCTCCTCTATCAGAAGTTTCTCTCAAAAGTTACCTGGTTTTAAGTACAACCAACTAACTCTTACTAGAACTAAACTCATTCTTACAGTTTAGTAATGACACAAAGGGAGCAATTGCATACTTTCAGAACATACAAAGGTCTTTGCTATCCTCTCACTAGTTAAATTCAGCCTCTCTCTTAAAGACTAAGAATGGGACATGGGAGCCAAGCTTAGTGCTCTGCTCCTAACCTGTTAGTTACTGGGATCTAAACACCGTTACACAGGGCAGAGGAGGCTGTGAACAGCAAGGACAGGTGTTTTGGTGCAGCCAGTGCATGACTGGCCCAGGCAGTATCTTGATTTCATTTTAACTCGTGTCTGTAGAAGATGCTGCTGGCCAAAGTGTGGACACAGGCCCGGGAAGTGCTGGCACACAAGGGAGTGATGAAGAGGCAGATGAAGGAACAACCTCAAGCTATTTCTGCAATAACACAAACCAAAGAAGGAAAAGGAAAAGGCCACCAAACTTCAGAGACTCCAAGAGGAAAAGGACAAGTAACGGTGGTGGCCAGCAGTTCCAGCACAGAGGGTATGTTGCTTGTGATCATTGGTTAACTGTTGTTTGCCCAGAACAGCAGGATGATGATCCCAGAGTTGTACTGGTTTTCCCTATGGTGGTTTCGGGAGTGTGGCCTTTAAGGGTAGCATTGGAATTCTCCAGGTACCTGGTACCAACTCCTCTGCTTTGGTTCTTCTATATTTTTTTTGTTTAAAAAGCTCCTGCTGAGGAGGATATTAACACTTGTCCTTTGTTTCTCACTTGCCTGCCACAAGCTATGTAGTGGCACTGAATTTCAGTGTGCTGCCATAGCCATTCTTAGCAGGCTGACTGCATTCTGGGCTTGGAAACACAGAGAAAGCTTAAAACTGAAAGGATTTGATGGAATATTTGAACTTTAGTTCCCAGTCCCTTGTTAATTCCAGTTCTCCCTCCGATTGTACTTCACAATTGCACCTGCATTAGGAGCATAACGTTTGGATCCAGGAGTCTGGTTAGTCTTGAGCTTCTAGGGCAGATCCACCACTGAGCTACTGCAGGGTGATCATCCTTTGAGTAATCACCTTATTTTTAGCAGTCAGTGTAGTTATTAGTCTGGTAACTCAAGTAGCAGCAGCTTGTGCTGAAGGTTCACGATCAAAACATGATGACTAATCAGTGCTGAAAGGGAGCAAATGAAAAAGGAGCAGCAGTTGGACAAATTCTGCCCTCTTTCCAAATGGGGGGACATTAGAAAAGTGGGGCAGTAAGCTCTTCTCTGGGGTTATCAGTCCTGCCTTCTGAAGGGTTGCTGTGCTCATAGCCTGCCTTGCACAGCAAGGAGCTAACCAAACAGCTTTCTAATGGTGCTATGAGTACAGCAGGGGTGGAGGGAACGGGGCAGGTAAAGCAGACCTGACGCATGGCCCTGCTCTCTCCCTTCTGCAGTGGCTACAGCAAGTACAGAAGGACCAAGAGGCCGCCCAGCTCCAAGGCTCCGGCCCCATCCAGCAGCAGCACACTGGGGCAGGGCCTCAGCGCCACGCAGGGAGCTGCTGGAAAGCTGGGCTTCATGGCGCTGCCCAAGCCCAAAAGCAGACCCTTCCTCCAGCCCTCATATGCGGTACTGTAACTGCTGAGCAAAAGCAGCCCTGGATGTAATCACTGTTCGTTAAATCGTTGTTTACTTTGTGAAACCTTCCCCGACTTGCACATTTGTCAGGTGCAAACCTCATGTTAAATAAATGGTTTTAAACTCCTAACTTCATTCCACCTTGCTTTCTCCTGTACACCACGAGGGTTCTGATGGCTGCTGGAACCCCACCCGCTGCGGTGTCAGTGCTCTGGGGCAGCGGGCAGCGCCCTGGGGGCTGTGTGTCGGCCCGCACACGCGAACCCGTGGTGCTCGCAGCAGCTCCGTGCCCCGCTCTGGGCTCGCTCCAGCAGCTCCAGGTCCCTCCGTGCTGTTGCCCCCGCGCTGGCTCAGGGCTGCAGGGGGCTCGCCAGCCCCGCTCCTCCGCCCCGGGCTGGGTCAGTGCCGCGGCGCCCGCCGTGCCTGACCTCCAGGTCCCGCCCCTCGCCCTGGCTCCGCTCCTTCCCTCGGGCGGGCCGGGCCGCGGCCGCTTCCCCCCCCCACTGCCTGGCTCCGCGCTCCCCTCACGCCGCGGGCGCGCAGCGGGGCAGGCCCGGCTCAGGCCGCGCCCCCTCCCCGCCGCTGTAGGCGGGAGCCGGCCCGGGCCGCCCCTGGCGGGAAGCGGGAAGCCGCCGCTCCGCCCCCGCCGCCGCCATGGCGCTCCCGCCGCCCGGGACGCTGCAGCCGAAGGAGCCGTCGCCGCGCTCCCGGCAGCGGATGCAGGTGCGGGGCGGGGGGGAACCGGGGCGGCGGGGAGGGGGCGGCAGCGGCCGGGGGGGGGCCGTGCGGAGGGGGCCGGGGCCGGGGTCGGGGGGGGCCCGGCTGCGGATCCCGCCGACCCCCGGTTCCCGCCCCCAGGAGTCCACCCCGACGGGGACCGCGGAGCCGCCGCCGAGCGCGGAGCCGGGCGGGCGCGGAGCGGGCGTGGGGCGGCAGCTGCGGGTGCTGCTCACGCCTCTCGCCGTCGCGGGCCGGCGGCTGCTGCCCCAGAAGCGGCTGTTGGGCGCCTACGGCGGGGCCGCGGCGGGCAGGGCCCCGGCCGGGAAGAGGCTGTGCCTGGAGCGCAGCCCGCGGAAAGCGGCGCCCGGCTCCCTCCCCGCCGGCACCGGCAGCGGCTGGGACAGCGCCTGGGATGAGGAGAGCGACGGGAGCGACGCGGGGGACACCCCCGTGGTGAGTGCGGCGGGGCCGCGGGTGGAGGTCACCGAACCATGGGGCGCTTCGGGCTGAAGGGACCTCAGAGCTCCTCCAGCTCCAACCCCTGCCACGGGCAGGGACACCTTCCACTGGAGCAGCTTGCTCCAAGCCCCTGTGTCCAACCTGGCCTTGAGCACTGCCAGGGATGGGGCAGCCACAGCTTCTCTGGGCACCCTGTGCCAGCGCCTCAGCACCCTCCCAGGGAAGAGCTTCTGCCTAAGAGCTCATCTCAGTCTCCCCTCGGGCAGGTTAAAGCCATTCCCCTTGGCCTGTCCCTACATCCCTTGTCCCAAGCCCCTCTCCAGGTTTCCTGCAGCCCCTTTAGGCCCTGGAGCTGCTCTCAGGTCTCCCCTTCAGGAGCCTTCTCTTCTCCAGGTGTGTTTACAGGTGGATGCAGTCATAAGGGTGATATTTGTCAATGCTCATTTATATTTAAATCATCCGTTCAAATTCTCAAGCCCATCATCTCTCCTATAAAACACAAGAATGAGCTTGGGCTGCCTTCCCTCTGTGTGCAGCGGTTGCTGTGGGTTTGTCTATTGAGTCACAGCTGGGTTTGTTCTGGCAGGGTTTTGAGGAACTGCCCTTTTTGTAGCATTAATGCTGGCCGATCAGGTCTGTAACACGAGTGAGTTGCTCTGTGGAGGAGATCGGGTGTGGATATGGGATCAGCCCAGTTTGTATGGGTAGAGAATAACTCAGGGACTCACTCCCGCAGAGGCTGGGACATCTCTTGCACTGTGACACCGTACAATGAGGAGCATTGGGCTTTTCTTTTTGTAGAGTGGGGACTTTGAGCTGTCGGCTTATGAGAGGAAACGGCTGAAGAACATCACAGAAAATGCCAAGTTCTTCGCTGCTCTGCAGCTGCATGAGGTTTGTACAGACTCCGAGCAGCGTCTGAATGTGCTCTCCAAGTGTGGTGGTGGCACTGTCATCCCTCTCGCCGCAAAGCCCTTCCCTAGCAGTGATATGTGAGAGGAGCCATGGAAAAGTCCTGGGACATCAGGGCATAAATGACCGGATACAACAGCGGGGTTGTGCTGCTGGTTTGCTTTGCTCAAGATGGGAGGTTAAACTGTGAGCACTCTGCTCATGGGGTGTTTGTACCGGTCACAGTGCCTGTGGTCACAGAGCCCCATCCAGCCTGGCCTTGAGCACTGCCAGGGATGGGGCAGCCACGGCTTCTCTGAGCCCCCTGTGCCAGCACCTCAGCACCCTCACAGGGAAGAGCTTCTGCCTAAGAGCTCATCTCAGTCTCCCCTCGGGCAGGTTCAAGCCATTCCCCTTGTCCTGTCCCTACATCCCTTGTCCCAAGCCCCTCTCCATGTTTCCTGCAGCCCCTTCAGGCACTGGAGCTGCTCTCAGGTCTCCCCTTCAGGAGCCTTCTCCTCTCCAGGCTGCCCCAGCCCAGCTCTCTCAGCCTGGCTCCAGAGCAGAGCTGCTCCAGCCTAGCAGCAGCTCCGTGGCCTCCTCTGGACACGTTGTGCAGCAGGACGTTGGTTTTGCAGCCAGTGCAGCAATTGGGTTGTATTTTATACAGGTTCATCCTTTATGCTTGTTAAAAGCTTTCTTTTCTATTCTCCTGAAGTCAGCTGCAAGACTTCAACAGATGGCAAATAAGAAACAGTCTCACACCACCAAAAGGTAAAATAACTGTTTAAGAGATTTGTATCCCTGTTCCTTCATTGTGTGTTAACTGCTTCAGCACTTCCATCTGCACAGACCTGATGGATGCTGCAAAGAGAGAGAGCTGGTGAGGAGCCTCTCTATAAAGCTAAATCTGAGTAACTAATGATCCTGAGCTGTCTGAGTTGATGAACAGCACCTCCTCCGAGTACTACCTCTCCTCTGCTGTCCTTTGGGGAGAAGATGACGCTATCTTTTCTGTCAAATTACAGCATTTGGGGGTTTTGTGAATGATGGGAGAAGGTGTGGGAAAGAGAGAGGGGGAGAGCTAGGTGCAAGGGATGGGGTAACCGGCTGCTGTCAAAGGAAAGGCATTTGGCAGGGCCAAAGCAGTGCCAGGCAAAGCAGGACAATGAGCTCATGTCCAAATAAAGAATAAGATACATGATGGAAGAAAGTGGGAGAAGGTGGCTGGGTCAGTGAATGGGCAGATGAATTATAAGTGAGGAGGGCTGGGAAGAGGAGTGGCCGTGGGTGCATGTATTACAAGTGAAGTAAAGCAGCAGCACATCTGTGTGCATTGCAGAGTGCTCTTGTTTGCTGCTGTCCCTGAGCAGAAGCAGTTGCAGCCCCGTGCAGTGAATCAGAACGGGGCAGGTCAGGCTGAGCCAGGGTGTTGGAGCTCCACATCGGAACCTGCTCTGGAGCCTCCTACTGAAACACAGTGTGGCTTTAACTGTGTGGCTTTGGAATGTTCTCACTGTTCTAGAGCTAAGCCTAAGAAGGCAGAAGATGAAACAGTGCTTCGAAGATCCATGCGCTTACAGAGAGTCAGTCCGTCGGGAATTCCACTGTCAGAGCTGCCTGCCCAGCCGGAAGCAGAGCAATATGTAAGATGGGGAAGGGCTGGACACAGAGGCTGTGTAAGACCAGTGCTGATGAAGCTGACTGGTAATACTTGTCACTGCTGAGCTTGTAAGCACCACTGGGCAATGGGAAGGTGCAATGTTGTGTGGTGACAATCGTCCAAGGTCGGTGCCTTCCCCCTCAGGCATCCTGGATAGCAGGATTTGTGTCCTGTCTGCAAGTCAGTCACGATGCTGAGGAAATAAATAGTGCAGGTTTGAGTGGTGTCAGGGTCCGACTGGATAAAATCCCAGTGTTGGAAGTACTCTGTTCATGATCCCCAGAGGGAAACGAACACCCAGCCGAGGTCAGGTACCACAGTGGGCGGTTGGGTTATGACAAAAAGAGAAAGATGATTATTATAAAAAGATAGCACTAGGACAGATGGGAAAAGGGTTGGAATTAAGCAGGAATTCGGAGTGCAGGGAGAGAGGGAGTCACCACCTTGGACCCAGGGGCACCCCCAGGGTCTTTAGTCATCATCTTCAGTGGAGGATGTCCCCCGGGGTCCCGCTGAATTTGTCACATGGCTCTTGGACACCAGCCTTGCTGGGGTCTAGGAGGGAGAGGAAAACCCAGGGCAGAAGATTCCCTTTGCTGTTGTGTTCAGTGAAGTTCTACTTACCTTTTTAATATGATTTGATACAAACTTCTTTATTTCTTGTGTTACCAGAGATGTGTTCCCAGAATGTCTCGTGTGTGGGAAGCAGCAATTCCCCCTGTTCTGGTTGTTTTGAGTGATGAAAATTCCTGATGTCGTTCCAGCCTCAGGTGCCAGCCGGACCTTTGCCAATGATTCCAGAAGATCAGGTGGGGAACAGCAAGTTGGCAGATGACCTATTGGCTACGTGGATGAGGATAAGTGAGGTACTATCAGTTACAGTGAGTTATTTTTGGATAATGTGACGGAGCTTGGGCTCTAATTCCTATACTTCCTTTCTGTCTGTAGGTGAAAGCTCATGGTACTGAAAAGCTCACAAGTGACATGAAAAGGTAATCAGGACAGCAGTTAACGCTGGTTGTTGCCTTGTGCTTCTTTCTCCTCTTGAGTAGCTGTTACTGTGATGTTGTCTAGGTACCAGGACAGCCTGAACAGCATGGTGCTTAGTGAAGATAACATTAAAAAGGTGGTGAAATACCGAGTGTGTTCCATAGCTATTCATCCTTCAGAAAGCATTATCTTGGTGGCAGCTGGAGACAGGTGTGGGCAGATCGGTCTCTGGAATGTGGTGAGTTGCTCGCGTGCTCTTCACCTGCAGAGCTGTTTGCTGCGGGATGGGTGTGGATGGGGCACAGCCTGGAGCGTCCTTTTGGCAGGCTCATGGTTCCCCATTCCAATGGATAGCACCAGATCTCCCCTCTGTCAGCTTAAAGCCCTTCCTCCTTGTCCTGCCACTCCATCCCCACTCCGTCCTACGTGTCTGTCTGCACACTGGGCACCCTGCTGCATCCTCCACTGCTGTTACCTGGGCAGACTGGAGAACCTTTGGGAAACAGAGGCTTTACTTTGGAAGCTGCAGCAGTGAACAGAAATAGCACTGTGATTAGCACCCCTGTCCACTGGATCTCACTTGTGTTTCAGAGCTGCAGAGCTGAAGAAGGAGCACGTGCCTTCACAGCACACAATGACCCGATCAGCTGTATGCAGTTTTCTCCATTCAACCCTGCTCACTTGCTGTCTGTGAGCAATGAAAGCCTGCGATGTGGTGATGTTACTAGGGCTGTCTTTGATGAGGTGAGTGCTCCCTTGGTGATGCTACAGGCTCCTTGGAAACCTTCTGGTACGTGCTGCTATGAAGTTTCAGTCTCCTCGTACCCAGGTTGTTGTTTGGTGGTTGTTTTGTTTGTGAGGAAGTTCAAGATTCCATTTCCACAAGGACGTGTGCAGTAACCCTTAATTAACATCAAAAATATAGAGATGCTTCCTGCTCAATAAAACCCAGTCACAGCTTGGCTTCTCCCAATTTCCTTCCTGCAGAGACAGTCCAAGTACTGAATCTAATTTCCCATCTCTACTTAGGCAATGTGTGCCTCTTTTCTGAAGCATTACCTTTTAATGAAGACAAATGAGAGCGAGTTAAAGAGCTAAACCTTACACACAAAAAAGCAAACCCAACCCAAATAAACGTAAACCAGCAGAAAGCATGAGCTGACTTTGCTCTTCCCAGGCTTCAGGAGAGCAAAACACTGCCTGTCTGGTGAGGCAGGCAGCTGAACTGAGGAGCGTTGTGAGGCTCTTGGCTTGTTTCTGCCAGATGCAGCTGCACTGATCACCTCCAGCACTGGGCAGTACAACAAACTACAGCAGTTTAAAGCCCCAACCCTTACAGGCACTGTAATTCTGCTGGGGCTGCAGGCAGGCTGCTGCTTGGAACCGTCTGCACTTGGTTGCTCAGGAGGGTGCAAGGGGCTCACTCTTTGAGACAGAGGCTTAAAGAATGTGCTTCTAGAGGTTGAGGGCAGAGAAGTGCTGTTATCCAGCTCCGTTTACCTTTGATTACATGGAGCTGGTCGTGCCCTGTGAGTTCTAGCAGGGAATTTGAAGCATGTTGTTGCCTGTTGGGTTGGGGTGGGAAATTGCTCTGTGGAAAGCACCCCAGTTTTACAGGAGGGTTACCCACATGCTCAGCTGAGGCTGGGGCTCTCAAATTAGCTGGTCATCATTAGTGGTTTTAGTATATTAAAAAGGGAAAGCGTGACATCTACAGCCCATAGAGTGGTTTGGGCGTCATGGATAGCTCTGTGTATTTTGTTGACTGCTTTTGGTTACATTTGGCCTTTCCTGTGCTCAGATCTGCAGAAGTGAAGACGAAGTCAACCTGTCTTCCTTTGACTTTTTGGATGACAACGCCTCCACTGCAATAGTAGGACACTGGGCTGGCGACGTCTGTGTTGTGGACAGGAGGACCCCAGGGACGTCTCCAGAGCTCTCTGCAAACATTGGCTTCAAAAGAACAAGGACAGTGCACGTTCACCCTGTGAATAAGCAGTATTTCGTTGCTGCTGGCTCCACGTACGTAGCTCCAGAGGAGCTGTGGTTGTTCTGTGCTTTCAGTGCTCTCTCTGCTTTGGTGTCTGAAGTGTGGGGTGGGTGGAGGGCAGGAGCAGCAGCTGATGAGGCAGCCAGTTGGTCAGCCTTTACTCTTGAGCTGTTAGGAAACAAGGTTTTAGCTGCCAGCAGGATTTAAGTGGGGTTCGCTTTGACTTCCTTTTGGTAATGGGTACCAAGGGGTGCTTTGAGTCACTGTGGGGTTTGTCAGGTCCTGATGCTGAGGGTTTGGGCTGGCTTTGGTGCTCTCAGACCCTTTGGAGGCACTGCCTGTTTGAGTGTGCTCGGCTCCACGCAGGGCTCAGGAAACCCGCAGTGTCTGGGGCGGCTCTGGGTGAATGGAGGATGGGGCCGGCCCCTGCTGAGGCGCTGCGTGTGCTCTGCTGCAGGGACGTTTGCGTTTATGACGTTCGGTGCCTGGCGGCGGAACGGAACAAGCCCGTGAGCAGCCTGAGAGGACACACGAAGAGCGTTGCTTCTGCCTACTTCTCCCCTGTCACTGGGAGCAGGGTGGTGACGGTGTGTGCCGACAACAAGCTGAGGTGAGCAGCGTGGGAAGGAGTAACCTCTGTGCAACATGCCAGCTGGGCTGTATCGCTGTTTCCTATCTGCAGTACCCCTCACGGAGAGCTTCTGCCCGTAGCGTGCTTTTCAAAAGCGATATTTACGTGCACTGGCATTTAAATGTTATTCTTTTTTTCCCCAATTCTCATTTTCCTGATGAATACTCGCAGTGAACAAGTCCGAACCGCCTTTAACAACCCAACCAAACCCCGCAAGCAACACCCAGCCAAACCCAGCTCATCAGCACAAACACACAACGCTTAGAAATGGGGGTTATTTTTAGCTGCTGGTACTTAACATGATGGTTCTGTCAGCTCGTTTATAACTCGTCTGCCAGTTTAACCTGCTATGAGTTGTTGTATGAGGGATCTGGTGGGGGGGTTCTGCTAGGTGGTTTTGTGACCATAATTGAGTCAGTCCGTTCCTGTAGACCCCTGATTGCGTGGCTGTTCTGTCTGAAATTGGATTTTCTTTCTCCCCTTCCCCTAACTGAGGAAAGTGTTCTTCTGTGTGAGTTCTGCCGCACTGGTATTTTCTCTCCTGTGATGTATTTACTAGATTCATACTCCATAGTAAGCTTGGCTATGAAAATTGTAAATCCTTGGTGCTAACAGAGCAAGGGTCAGAGCACCAACAGGACGAGAGTAAACCAGGATATTTGTGGAGAGAACAGACACAGGTTCATTTATTCAGTGCCTGTTAATGCAGTGACTGAAAGGATGGAGGAGCCTTTTGTTCATCTGCAAGTTGTTTCTGTCCTCCTCCTGTAACAGCGTTCAGAAGGGATGACCTTCCACTCGAGCTAAAAGCTCATCCAATTTAAAGAAGCACATTTACTCATTTCAGTTGGAATATTGGTGCTCCAGTTGAGCTGGATGCTGTTCGTTACTGTATTCCAGACCCCTGTGAGGTCTGGCCATGCTGATCCGTGCTCTGTGAGGCCAGGGCTGCCTTTTTTAACCTGCCTGTTTTATCGCCACACTGGTTTATGTTACAGGGTCTATGACACCACCTCTTTGTCACCCACGGTCACGGCTCTCAGCACTGTCAGGTAAGCTGAGCACACTGGGGCTGCAGGCTGTTGTGTGCCCAAAGACCACGGCTCAGTGGCAGGAGGGGCCTTGAGAGCAGACGAGTGCCCACCCGGCTGTGTGATGCTGAACTGTGCTTCCTGTCGGAATGCTTTCTCTTTGTGCATTTGGTTTAATAGCAGAGGTTACCTCTTGGTGGTCAGTGGCGTGGTTTGGGGTGGAGGCTCAAGGCTTGTGAAGCACTCTGTGCTCCAGGAGGGTGAATTCAGGCTGTGCACAAAGGGTGAACCGGGAGGTTGTCGGGGCTGGTTTGCAAGGGAACCACTCGTAGTCTGGTTTATCAACGGGCTCGGTGCATGTTTGTCCTATTTTGACTATAATACAGAGCCATGAAACAGAACTACTTAAATTGATAATCCCCTACCTTGGAGTGCCCTCAGCTTTATCTTCTTGCTCCACCACCTTTCTTTGTCCTGTCCCACCCATCACAGGGGGGAGATCACCAAAGGGAGTGGAGCAGCACGATCAGGGGAAGTGCTGATAGTTCAGGAGGCAGGAGGCTGGGTTGAAGCAGAAATGATGGGGCTTTCCAGGGCTGGATTCAATAAGAGGGGTGTTTCTCTTTTTCTCCCTGGTTCCTTCTCTGAAGCCACAACAACCACACGGGCCGCTGGCTGACCAGGTTCAGAGCAGTGTGGGACCCCAAGCAGGAGCACTGCTTCGTGGTGGGCAGCATGGCACGGCCAAGGCAAATCGAAGTCTTCCAAGATACTGGAAAACTCTTGCACTCGTTCTCTAACCTCGACTGCCTGGGCTCCATCTGCTCCATCAACGTCTGCCACCCCAGTAGGAACATCCTGGTGGGGGGCAACTCCAGTGGCCGCCTTCATGTGTTCAAGGAGTAGAAACGTGCTTCAGGTGTTTGTATTTTCCTGCCTGCATTCCCTTGGTTTAAGCCCCATTCCGCTGCTCCCAAACCCACGGGATTTTCTCAGGACAAAAAGTGTATTGTAAAAGCTTTAAAATAAATTTTCTAAGCTACCTTTGGCTTCTCTTCTGTAACTAGAGAATAAAATGAATCAGATGTGCTGTGGCGTCACTTTGTACCAAAATGGGTACTTTGTTCCCCAATTTTTCAAAAAAAGGAAACCTTGGATCAGTAGAATCCCAGATCTCAGGCCCCCCTCTGGCAGCTTAAAGCCATTCCCCTTGGCCTGTCCCTACATCCCTTGTCCCAAGCCCCTCTCCAGGTTTCCTGCAGCCCCTTCAGGCACTGGAGCTGCTCTCAGGTCTCCCCTTTAGGAGCCTTCTCCTCTCCAGGCTGCCCCAGCCCAGCTCTCTCAGAGCTGCTCCGTGGCCTCCTCTGGACTCATTCTGCAGTTGGTGCAGCAATTGGGGCACTTTGCTTTGCTCACCAGGAGCAGCACTGAACAAACCTGATACAACTCTGCCTTTCATGATATTTAAATATTTATTTAAATTTAAAAATACTTTTCATGGCACCAATGATTTTATGCTAACTAAGATATTGAATATGTAGAAAAAGGTACATTTTGAAGGAAAAATGTAACTTACAGTATTTGGCACATGAAAGGTTAATTCCTAGATTATTTTTTTTATGAAAACTAAGAAATTCACATTTTCAGGTATTTTTACTGTACTGCCTCAAGATGCAGTATGCTAGGACGAGATCTTTATTTTCTGAGATAAGAACCTATGGAAACAACATTTTAATAGAAAGACAGGTAGAACTAACAGGGCGGGAAACACCAGACGGAGGATGGAGCGGACAGGGAGAACGGACAACGGGGAGCCACCACTGGGGGTGGTTCTGCAGGAAAAGGCTGGGTGGAACCTGCAGAGGAGCCCCAGGGCTGCGGCGCCGCAGGGAGCGAGGCCGGGGCTCCAGGGGCAGGCGCGGAGCCTGCGCTGGGCTCGGGCAGGAGGGAGTCTCGCTGCGGCCGGGGCTGTGCTGTCACGACATCACGCAGTACATCAGCAGGGAGGAGGAGGAGGGAACACTGCATCTTAAACCCGGGGTGAAAAACGGCAGGTTCGGGACTACCACGCACTGCATAGAAACACCATTAACTACGGGCTGAGGTAGGCGCACTACGCTAAGAGTTATTTTGCTATGTTATGTTGCATAAAACAGGATTATCATGTAGAACTCCATCCTCCCACCTGCCCCCGAGCGGGGCTGAGGCAAACCCTTCCTCGGCCCTTGTGCTGTGCCCTTGGCAGCCAAACACGACCCGGCTGAGGTCTTTATTCCCCCCCACCCCCCGACAGATTCAGGACCTCTTTTATTGCAGTAACAAATGACCCAAGTCTGGCCGTGGTGTTGGATCAACCAACATCATCATCATGCTCCTTCTCCAGGCCCGGATTGGGCAGGAGCGGCCCCAGCAGTGATGGATGGATGGCGGGATGCTCAGAGACAAGAACACGGAAATCAGGCTGTTGAAAACTGCAGTTATGGCCCCAGCGTACGGAAAATCTCTCCCTGAGATGAAATAAAACGCGCTCACCTGTGTTCTCCTTCTTTTTGTTAAGTGTGTCCAACTTCTCAACCGAATCTGAACCAAACTGGCTTTTATTGCTCCCTGTGGGAATAGACCACTGCTTCCCAGGCCACTGGAGGTCCCGGTGGTCGTCACAAGTACAATGAGTTGGGTTTCTTGATTTTTGCTTAAGAAAAGATGGGTCTAATGGTTGTCCATTGGCTTGTTCAGTGTCACCTCCACTCCTGTGGGTCTGTCCTTTCATCTTCAGTAAAGTCACCAAATCAGAGTTCCTTCCTCTCATCCAGAACTAGCGCCGGGTTAATTGCTGTTAGGCTTTCAAATCCTAAACCCTCTGCTCAACGTGAACCGCTCGACCACCCGATCCGCCAAGTAAAAAAAGACTTGATCAGATTTGATAGCAAAATAGCATTTCCTTGTTAAAATAGACCTTGAAACTGTCTCTTTTTTTTTTTTTTTTTGTTCTTTTTTTGTGTGTTTTTGTACAAAACAGGTACGGCTTCTGGAGGGAAAAGGTCTTCCTAATAAATCCGACATGGTCACTACCAGGCTTGGCCAGGGGTGCCTGTTGTGCTCGCCCTGCCCCTGGGAGCACTGGTGCTGCGAGGCTGGGGAGGAGGTGGGATCGCTGAGGCTGCTGTGCTGCAGGGAGCGGGGCACCACGGCATCCCCATCGCATCCGGCTGTGCAGGAGGCTCCGGGCAGCAGGGAGGGACTGCGGCAAAGCGGCACGGGGACGGTGGCGGCGGGGCGCACAGTGGTGGATTTAGTAACGCAGGAGCGCACGAGCGTTTGAGCCACTGCTCGGTAGCACCATTGCTAAAGCTTCTGTGGCACGGCATCGCCGGTGCTCCCGCAGCGCTGGGCAGCAGCAGGACCACAGCGCATCCCTTGCTCGGTGCTCCCGTGGCAGGGGCGGAACGGTGAGGTGCTGCGCGGGCTCCGGGGGCCGAGCGCGGGGGGAAGGAGGCTCCGGGGGCTGTGCCCAACCCACCTCTTCCTCCCGGGACGCTGCCTCCGGCCGCGCCGCGCTCTGGGTCGGGAAGGGAGGGTTATGAGCGGGTGCCGAAGGCGCCGCGGCGCGTGCCGGGCACGGCGCAGGTCTCTCCCCAGGCCCCCGGCTACTTAGGTGGCGGCTCCTGCCTTCAGGTGTCAATGAGCAGGCTTACCACGGCGCGGACTTTGCAGGCAAACCATCGCCTGAGGGGACAAAAGTATTGGTAATGGAACTGCTCGAACTCGGGGGTCTGGCGGATATCGCGGAAAAAGGCAGTGTCAAGGTCGGACTCGGTAAGGACGATGAGGAGGAGGAGCAAGACAAAGAGGAGTCCAACTGTCACAAGGAGCAAACGGAGGACACTTAAAACAAACTTATTCACCTGCTCGGCCTGCGCCGCGCCCAGGCCCCCGGCGCCGGGGCACAGCGCCCGCAGCTCGCCCGCCTCTTCCGCCTCGGCCGCCGGCGTGCCGGCCTCCGACTCCTTCTCCTCCTCGATGGAGCACGGGGCGCCGTTGGCCTGGCGCGAGAGCAGCATGAGCTCCAGGCTGTGCTCGGCCACCGGCGTGGGCAGCACGCTGTCTGCGGGGCTGTAGTTCTCGTCCGCGATGACGGCCACGCGCTCGCTGCTGTCGGCGCGGCCGCCGCGCCCCGGGGCCGCGAAGGCATCGCCGTGGGAGGCGGAGCGCACCGGGGTTGAGTGGGCGCTGTCCCGCAGGGACTCCAGGCCTGGGGGACAAAGGGGACACTCAGGGGCGTGCAGGACCTAACCTCACCCGTGCCGGGCTGAGCATCGCTGCTCGGGTCCCCGTCAGCTCTCCTGCACCGGTGACGTGTGACCTGTCACCGTCACCGACAGCCACAGGCTTGTCGTCAATGGGTCACAGACACCGTGTGCTGCGGCTGCGCTGAGGTGACAGGCACCCGCACCGGGCGAGGCCCCTGCGCCGTCAGCAGCACCAGCACCAACCGGGAGCAGCCATGGGCAGGGGTGATCATAGAATCACAAAGGGTTTGTGTTGGAAGGGAGCTTAAAGCTCATCCAGTTCCAACCCCTGCCACGGGCAGCGACACCTTCCACTAACCCCACAGCAGCAAAGGGGTACAGGGATGGGGGGGTAGAAACACTGCATGGTGTCTGCACTGGGGCAGCCCCCTGGGACAAGCCCTGCCCATCTCCGGCTGATGCATTAAAAGACAACCCTGGGGACATTTCTCCTGTTAGGGAGGGCACAGTGCACCATGGCACAGCGCCACTGGGGGCCCTGGCTCTGCCAAAGGATGAAGAGCAGGGCCCTGCGCTGCCAGCATTCCCGGGGACTTTGCAGCCTCTTCCTTGCAAATGCTGCCCTGATGCCTCTGGGTCAGCTCAGCTTAACACGAGTGCCGCTGCGGGCACCGAGCACAAGGGGCAGCTCAGGCGATAAGCACGGTGGAGGAATAAAGCTGTTCTCACCCCGCCAGCTATGTGTGCTCGGGTGTCACACAGCTCATGTGAACGGCCCGGGGGGGCGGGCAGCCCATGGCGGGGGGCCCACTGCTCGTCTCTGCAATGAGAGCAGTGCTGGTACCCCAAAACCAGACTATCCTGCCCTCTGCTTGCTCCAGGCCCTGACAGACAAAGCTCAGCAGCTGGGTCCAGCTCCAACACCGAAGCCGCTTTGGATAATAACAGCCCAGAGTTCAGCCAGCACAGGAGACCGACCCCACGCACACATCCTGCATCCCATGTCCCTTACGGGGGAGCTGCGGGGGCCCCCCAGTGCCCCCGCTGCCGCAGCAGGGCGCAGACCCGCAGCATTACCTAGCACCCGTACGGCATTACCTAGCACCCGTACGGCATTACCTAGCACCCGTACGGCATTACCTAGCACCCGTACGGCATTACCTAGCATCCGTACAGCATTAGGCAGCATTACCTAGCCCCCGTACGGCATTACCTAGCCCCCGTACGGCATTACCTAGCACCCGTGCGGCATTACCTAGCACCCGTACGGCATTACCTAGCACCCGTACGGCATTACCTAGCACCCGTACGGCATTACCTAGCACCCGTACGGCATTACCTAGCACCCGTACGGCATTACCTAGCACCCGTACGGCATTACCTAGCACCCGTGCGGCATTACCTAGCACCCGTACGGCATTACCTAGCACCCGTACGGCATTACCTAGCACCCGTACGGCATTACCTAGCACCCGTACGGCATTACCTAGCACCCGTGCGGCATTACCTAGCACCCGTACGGCATTACCTAGCACCCGTACGGCATTACCTAGCACCCGCACGGCATTACCTAGCACCTGTGCGGCATTACCTAGCACCCGTACAGCATTACCTAGCACCCGTACAGCATTACCTAGCACCCGTACAGCATTAGGCAGCATTACCTAGCACCCGTGCGGCATTACCTAGCACCCGTACAGCATTACCTAGCACCCGTACAGCATCAGGCAGCATTACCTAGCACCCGTACAGCATTACCTAGCACCCGTACAGCATTAGGCAGCATTACCTAG